TTCTTCACCGGTCGACCAAGAATGAACTATTAAATGTCCTGATAAAGAGGGGCGGCGACGTAACCCAGTGGTTTGCTCGTCACCATGAGGACCCGGGTTCGAATCCCCACATGGGTACAATATGTAAACCCCTGCCGTGATATTGCTGGAATATTTCAATAAGCTAATTAAACTCACTCACTCACTCGTGATAAAGAATATTCAGATCTATTTATGAAAGGCCATTGGCCCATATACATGAGTGAGTGAGTTTAGTTTTATGCCGCTTTTAGCAATATTCCAGCTATATCACGGCGGGGGACACCAGAAATGGGCTTCACATATTGTACCCATGTGGGGAATCGAACCAGGGTCTTCGGCGTGACGAACGAAGGCTTTAACCACTACGCTAACACAAACACACACACACACACACACACACACACACACACACATGAAGTGTTCATGGTGCAGTATAAGATCAATTAAACAAAAGATCCTATACTGCACCATGTGTATGGGCCTATGGCCTTTCATACAATAAACATTTGAACTTGAATAAAAATAAGTTGCTATCCATCATATATTCATCAACACCGTCCTGTGTGTAGACAAGTATCACGTGACCGAACTCACCCTGCGTAACAGTACCGCGTGTCCATGGTAACACAATACACTGACGATCAGGGAATGTTATGTTGTATGTTCTAATTTAGAACACCGACATGAACATCCTCACTTGGTGATGTGGAAAACGTGTCTCCTCAGAGGAACGCATGTCACTCCAGGCGATAACGTATATTATTATTGTGACGCTTCGCGGCAGAAACAATTATTTAGGGGATACCTATTTCCGGCGTATGTACTTGTATTTGTTTCCTGTATATTTCCTGTTGTAGTTTGTCGTGAGCAGTTCAGGGAAGAAGCAGTAATATATCACACGTGCTTTCCCACGTGGTGAAACTCACAGACATGACCTGCACGTGTAGCGGACTAGTCTCAAGGACAAAAACACGTGAGTGAGTGAGTCTAGTTTTACGCCGAACTCCGCAATATTCCAGCTATATGGCGGCGGTCTGTAAATAATCTAGTCTGGACCAGAGAATCCTGTGATCAACAGCATGAGCATCGATTTGCGCAATTGGGAACCGATGACACGTGTCAACCAAATCAGCGAGCCTGACCACCCGATCCCGTTAGTCGCCACTTACGACAAGCATGGCTTACTGAAGGTTCATTCTAACCCGGACCTTCACGGATGACGTAGCTCATAGGGCATAGGTCGTTTACTAGCATCCTGTATGGTTCGGATTTCTGCAAACCCACTAACCTTTTCAGCCCATCCGAATTTTAACTCTAAACTTTAATAACATCGTATTTCCATATTTTATGGCGAGGTGTAGGCAGCATGACCTTAAATAAGACGTCACAGACTGCCCCTGTTTGGTGTTTTCGTAAAATGATTTACAATGCATCTGGCTCACTGGTTACACCTGTTATGTGTTTTTGCGCTTATTCAGTGTAGTTCTGTAACGCACAATGTGATTGATATAATATCAATTCCGTACCAGACCGCCAAACGTTTCTAGCGGCAGAACCTCGTTTTGAGATTTCCACGTTTTCCAGGTTTCCGTCTGTCAGAGTTCGCTGTAGGACAGAGCACGCTGCACGACGTGTTTGCAAGGCTTAGAAGGAGCGTAGTGTTGCAATATACAAGTGCTTAGATGTATCAAATAATACTGATTAATATTTATGCATCCAGTTAAATGAATTGGTCTCAAAATGCTGGACTGGTTATTGTACTAAGTGCCTCAATAGCACTGAACCCAGTCAACAGGAAACGAGACTGTTGTGTCATCAATGTTTTGACTCGAACAAAAGCAGGTGAGTGAGTATGGTTTTACGCCGATTTTAGCAATAGTCCAGCAATATCACGGCAGGGGGACACCAGAAATGGGCTTCACATATTGTACCCATTCTGCAACAGAAGCAAGACGATACATGAGCTGGTACTTTAATATATAAATATAACTGAAAATAAATAACTTACATTTACCAATCACACAATGAACATTCATTAAATCATAGATTAAATTCTAAATGAAACATACATCATATATTTATTTCAATGTTTTTATACGGACAGCATAAAAAAACATTCAGCTATTGAACTGAACCGAGGCTAACATTTTGCTTCTGAAATGAACATATTTTACACCAAAAAGACAGTTCCTAAACTATTATCATTAAATACAATTCTAAGATGCCTAGCGGTTAGAACAATAAAAAAAAATACATTATCAGACAATAAAGGTATAGTTTTTTGATGACGTAACAATTGAATGACGTTATCCCGTCACTGCGCCATTCTAGTGTGCCCCCTCGTAATCGAACCATTTTACGTTACGTCACAATGAAAGCGACGTCACGATGCATGTCAGTTGTCATCGCCTCGTACGGCCACCTACAGTAAACTACACCGTTGCATCCCGCTTCTTGGTTTGCTGTTGCTTCACGCAGCTAACATCACTGGTGGAAACATTACGTTTATGTTTTACGACGGGTAAATTGTGTCATTTCGACTCACAAGTTTTCAGCAAAACGGTAACGTTCGCAATGTTTACATTCCCACAATGCAATCGTGGAATGTCGCTTGACTACTCAACTTCCTCTGGATGTACTGATCTAAACTTACGTTGGTAGTAGAAATGCAACGTTCATATTGCCCCAATGGTTTATGTTAATAACAGATGTAATTAAAATAATTCAGAGAAGATATTTAATCCGAACGTAAACCGTCATCAAACTGTTATCATTTGTTTTTTTCTGGTAACGTTCGTCTTAACGTAGGGGACAGACACGTCAATAGAACAGCGCGCCAGTTAGCCCTGTGCGAGGATTCTTAATTTAGGTCACAGACACCGTCGTTTGTTTTCTGCCTTAAATTAATTGTAATTATCCTTAGAAAGTATTAAATTTGGCATCTTAGAAAAAGAAATACAGTTCGCCCTACCACCACGTATAGTGTAATAAAACACACTGAACTACGCAAGCGTCCTCGTGCTTTAACTATAATAGTTCAGGGCTAAAGTGTGTTTTATTACACTATACATGGTGGTAGAGCGAAGTGTATTTCTTAATCAAAAGGAGACCAGAGACTTTCTTCATTTCCTGAAACGGTGGAAATCTAGACTTGCCACATATTCTAGACTTACATGGGCTTTCTTGGATATATTTTGTTTGAGGGTCTAGACAGACTAGGCTGAACCCTACGATATCCCTACTGAAGATTCAGCTGTACGGGTGGATCTGCATGTCAAGCCCCAATCTATTACATAGACGTTTAGAACACAATCAGCCAAACTTACCGAGCACACAAAACATAATTGTAAACCAAAAGTCACTGTGTTCTTTATTCTGATTGGTTGAAAAACATGATCGAATTGTACTCGATTACCTGAAACTGCAAGATTATTCGCTGCGTATTAATACGTACAAATATCATACACAGTTGTATTGTTGCGTCATCTGGCAGTGGTGATCATATCATGGCGTAATCTCGGAATGACGTCACAAATTAGCAGTTCCAGATGCTACTATGGGAACCAGCCGAAACGGCCAGCTGCTGACACTTCACTATAGTCTGTTTGGCTCAAAGGCGGACCGATGAATTGCAATCTAACTCGAAAACTAATAAACATATAATACTCAATGAAACGCTGATCATAATCAATACATCACACCAACTCTGTGATTTATTTGCAGAATATATGTACTAAAATTAAGAAATTTGTTTAACAAACTATCATAAAAATGTTGACACAGTTCACTGTTTGTTACGAGGGAGAGTGCAGAGAAAGGGACAGCCAGGTGTTAGAGAAGCACATGCACAAGTGCCGACAAAGTTATTGATTCATTAATCTGTGCTGTGCCGTCTCCATCCTTTCTCGCACACCTGGCTGTCAATTTCTCTGCACTCCTCCCTCGTAACAAATAGTGAACTGTGTCAGTATTTTAATGACAGTTTGTTAAACAACTTTTTTAATTTTAGGACATAAATTCTGCAAAAGCTTCACAGAGTTGGTCTGAAGTTTTGATAATGATCAGTGTTTCATTGAGTATTTTATGTTTATTAGTTTTCGCGTTAGATTGCAATTCATCGGTCCGCTTTTGAGCCAAACGGACTATACGTACTGTACCCGTACTCGATGTCGGCAGGCAGGAAAGTGTATGTGGACCTTTCGGTTTACTTTTGTGTTTACAATGTCGATAAACGGCGTCGGTTCCAAATGAATTCACGTGGTCCAATTACTCAATAAATATAACACCCGGAAATTGGCCAACAAAATTATCTTTATCTCCAAAATGTACGTTCAAACTTACTGTGCATACAAATACATTTGAGATATTCACACTTTCATGTCAAAATAGGTGAGGTGACCCCCCCTAAAATTTATGTACAAAGTAAGTGACCCCCCCCTGCATGACATGTACAAAATCAATGACACCCCCCCTCCACTTCCTATAATTTCTATGCATACTTTTAAGAGATTTGTATGTACAAAATTGTATGTACAAAATTGCTGACAACCCCCACCCTCCAGTACGTGTGTACAAAATTGCTGCCCCCAGCTCCCAGAACAAAATGAGTGACCCCCCCCCTTAAAATCATCATCACCCCGCTAGCAATAAATTGTGAACGGTCCCTAATGTAACATTCATTTTAATGCACAGAAACTACTTCCTCTAAGAAATAGAGAATAATGTCTTTTCAGCTGATGTTATATTCACGTTTAACCTTTCTTAACACGTCGTCATATGAGCGAAATATTCTCAAGCACGACGTTAAACCCAATTTCACCTCACCTTTCTTAAGTTTGTAAACTCATCTATGAAACATTCGGATTCACTCAGTAATAATCATAATTCGTATACAACTTGAGTTATATTTTGTATCCAACCCTGTATACGCATATTGGTGACGTTGCATTACAGGTGCACAACAACTGATTGAGTGACGTAGTTCACACCCCTGAAAAGCGGAAGTATTATGGCATCTTGTTAACGTGATGTAGAGAAATGGCTCGGATGTGTTGTTATTCTAATACCGTGTGACTAAACCCTCATGGATTTCATTCAGTAGTGTGCCGGCTGAAACAAAGGTAAGAAGACACAAGCGTTTTGTTTCCTTCGCTCGCTGAAGCAACAGTTGGAAAGGAAACCTGTCACTGCATACATCTCACTCAACAGGCGATGTGCCGTAGGGCTTTGACAGATCGAGTAATTTCTTAAAACGTATTTTGTTAGATATGAATTACGATTGCTATTGTACTCCACAATGGAATTTGGGACATTCTTGAGGTTGTTAGTACAACTGTGAGAGTTTAGGCAGCAGATATAGGTCAAGATAAGCAGGTGTATGAAATGAGACCCGATGTGTGCTTCCAGTGTTTAAAAATGTATTAAATTGTCATGTGAATAGTAAAGGTATTGACATGTGTCAATCATGAGTTCAGCAGCAATGGTATTCTGTCAAACTGCAGTATATTATATGATTGCATTAAATTGAAAGGGGAATGTGATTTTTGTATAAGCAGTGGCCATTATGAACACAAGTTGTAACTGTTGAGTGCAGTGCATCAGGTTTATAGAGAATACTACACGAGGTCTCATTACATACGAATTATACGAAACGAGTGTCCTTCCTGTGGTATCTGACCGAGCGAAAGCGAGGTCAGATAACATAGGAAGGTCACGAGTTTCGTATAATTCGTATGTAATGAGACCGAGTGTGGTATTTTATTTATTACCCACGTCTTACATACATTTAAATTGACAAAATAGCGTATTTTTGTTATTTTTTGTTTCAAACCGAAACCGGTTTCATAAAGAGGTTGTGGAAGAGTTTTGTACAGTAGTACAATATTTGCATGACGTCACACTAATGACGCCACTGCCATGGTAACCGACGCCACGATGCATGTCAGTTGTCATCGCCCATTACAGCCTCCTACAGTAAACTACTCCGTTGCACCTCGCTTCTTGGTTTGCAGTTGCTTCATTCGGCTAACATCACTGGTGGAAACATTGCGTTTATGTTTTTCGACAGATATAATGTCTCAGTTCGACTCACAATTAAACAGCGACACGGCAACGTTCGCAATGTTTACATTCCCACAATGCATTTAAGTTGTAGAATGAATGAATTCACGTGTTTGTTATGAATGAAAAAATAGTTACGTCAGAATGTGACCTAATTGAGAGGTCATCGGTTATCCAATCAAATCATTAGAATTTCAGGTCAAGTCGTTACGACACAGGTCAACGCGATACGACACTCGTGTGACGTACGAGATTAATATGCAACTACCCATACGTTGACCACGTGGGTAATAAATGCATATATTACAGAACCAGAGGCCCAGGTAAGCTGCGTATCCAGGTAAAATACCAGTGTAGGAAAGATAGCCCGTCCCAACGTCCGAGACGGATGAATTTTGTGGAGGACAGGTTAAAAAAAAAAATATCTAGTCCGTCCTCATGTCGGGTCAATTTTAGCAAACAAATGACATATATATAATGATTATAACCTTTTTGAATATTTACTGCCGAAGGTGTTTTATTTATATTTGGAGGACAGGCTAGATTTTGGCAGGACTGGTAAAAAATTTGACCTGCCAGTCCTGTGGACAGGCTAGATTTTCTACATCTTTCCTACACTGAAAATACGCATAGAAAATTTCAATTTACACATTGAAAAATAATTGTTGCGTACCAATTACGCATTTAAAATGTTAGATACGCAAACAGTTTCAAACAAATGCGTACGGAATATATTTATAAAAATAGCTTGCGTAATGAAAAAAGACATCGATTGCTATCAAGTTGTACTGTTAGTATAGGACTAGTGTTGTACTGTCAGTATAGGATGAGTGATTTTTCATGAAATCATTTCCAATATATTTAGTTGGTTTTGATTAGGTATGACATAAGGCAGAACATACCTGCTTAGTAAACTTACTCAATGACATAATACTTAGGTGAGTAGAATGAGTGAAATACGCACATATTTGAAAGCAGTGGGTAAGGGAAAATGAAATACTAGTACCCACTCAACATTTATAATACCCACTCCAAAAACATACAGTGGGTACAGTACCCACATGAGCTAAATCTTATCTGGAGCTCTGCTGAGTCTGCAGAACTGTCACCTAAATTCGTGGATAACCTTGATTCATGGATTGTGTCAAAAATGTTCTGAATATCTGCATTGCATATACTAGTAAACATATACTAGTAAACATATACTAGTAAACACACTAAATCTAATAATCCAGCACTGAGAGAAATAGCCCAAGATCACTAATGCCACCGATACCCAATATTATTTTCCAAAATGTCAAATAAAAAAGATACTGTTAGCACCAACCTTCTCACATCTCATCTTCCTAGGGGTCAATACTTATTGCAGTGGGCTGTCGCTCATAGTGATATAAAGTAACCAACTACGTATTCCATGAAACAAGATGACGTTACATTTTTTGTGCACTCAAAAGGGTGATGATTGCAAATGGCTTCGGGAAACAAACATTTCATTCACGAGTGGAATATCAGGCATTTTTAGTTTGCTGAATCAGTGAATGAAATAATCATTGAGTATACAAAATGAAATCGTGTGATCAAAGTGGGTACACAGCAAATACACACAATACACCTGCTGTATACACTGAAAGTGGGAGTCACTTGTCACGATGCATGTTCTTTATACATAGTTGGCAGTATTAAATCATGGCACCCAGTTTATTATACAGTATATCCTAATACAAGTAACCCTGTAAGAACCTTCAAAATCAGTGCCAACTTGTAAATACCATCTACAAAGTAATCCCGAATAAATCCCATCATGATCATTCATGATCTCTGCACAAACCAAAATAACACATTTGTCTTCCATTGTTTGGTTCCATATGATTTCGATCAGCGCATGTTGACATGGTGAGAAAAATAAAACTATGTTAATTTTAAGCACTGGAATAAGTCAGACAGAAAAAATGTGTTATTTCCTGTAATTAAGTCACCTATTAGCTTGTATTTCATTCACAAGGCTTAGTTTAAAATATGAATCTGTTTATTCAACACTCAGATAACAGCCTTCACATTTGCTGATAGATGTAAAATATGGAGTAGTGAGATCAGCCTCATCAGTCAGACATCACATGTGCAAGCCCAACTCTGGTGACATCTCAAGTAGAAAATATTTATTTCTTTATTTGTTACATGTTTTCTCTTCAGTTATTTCAATGCACATTGTTGTAATGGAAGTAACATGTGAAGCCCATTTCTGGTGTCCCCACCCATGAAGGTCGTTAGAATTGATCTTCAGTAACCCATGCTTGTTGTAAGAGGCTAATTAACGGGATCGGGTGGTCAGGCTCAGCTGACTAGGGTTGACAGTTGGTCGTATCACATGGGTAGATTGATGTTCATGCTGTTGATCCCTGGATTGTATTGTCCAGACTCGATTGTTTACAGACCGCCATATAGCTGGAATATTGTTGTGTGTGGCGAAAACTAAAGTCACTCACTCACTCTGGTGTCCCCGTCCGTGATATTGCTAAAATATTGCTAAAAGCCTGCAGCACAAACCATACTCACCCACTATTTCAGTGCAAACAAAATCATCACACTTTCATTTTTATTTATGTTTGTTTGTTTGTTTAACTCAACAATATTACCACTGTATGACGATGGTCTGTAAACATCGAAGTCTGGACCAGACAATCCAGTGATCTACAGCATGAGCATTGATCCATGTATCATGACATATGTCAACCAAGTCATCAAGCCTGACCACCCACTCCATGACATATGTCAACCAAGTCATCAAGCCTGACCACCCACTCCATGACATATGTCAACCAAGTCATCAAGCCTGACCACCCACTCCATGACATATGTCAACCAAGTCATCAAGCCTGACCACCCACTCCATGACATATGTCAACCAAGTCATCAAGCCTGACCACCCACTCCATGACATATGTCAACCAAGTCATCAAGCCTGACTACTCCACTCCATGACATATGTCAACCAAGTCATCAAGCCTGATGACATATGTCAACCTCCATGACATACGCCCACTCCATGACATATGTCAACCAAGTCATCAAGCCTGACCACCCACTCCATGACATATGTCAACCAAGTCATCAAGCCTGACTCCATGATCATGCCTGTCAACCATGACATAGTCAACCAATCATCAAGCATGACCACCCATCCATGACATATGTCAACCAAGTCATCAAGCCTGACCACCCACTCCATGACATATGTCAACCAAGTCATCAAGCCTGACCACCCACTCCATGACATATGTCAACCAAGTCATCAAGCCTGACCACCCAATCCATGACATATGTCAACCAAGTCATCAAAGCCTGACATATGTCAACCCCATCATCCATCCATGACATGTCAACCAAGTCATCAAGCCAACCAAGTCATCAAGCCTGATCACTCCACTCCATGACATATGTCAACCAAGTCATCAAGCCTGACCACCCACTCCATGACATATGTCAACCAAGTCATCAAGCCTGACCACCCAATCCATGACATATGTCAACCAAGTCATCAAGCCTGACCACCCACTCCATGACATATGTCAACCAAGTCATCAAGCCTGACCACCCACCCATCCATGACATATGTCAACCAAGTCATCAAGCCTGACCACCCAATCCATGACATATGTCAACCAAGTCATCAAGCCTGACCACCCAATCCATGACATATGTTAACCAAGTCATCAAGCCTGATCACCCAATCCATGACATATGTCAACCAAGTCATCAAGCCTGACCACCCACTCCATGACATATGTCAACCAAGTCATCAAGCCTGACCACCCAATCCATGACATATGTCAACCAAGTCATCAAGCCTGACCACCCAATCCCCTTGGTCATGTATTTATGGAAACAATGGTAATGCAGTGATCATGTCATTGTGACGTATATAAATATAAATAACTTTTCTGAAAAACACGATGTTTCATCTGACCAGCTGCCAGTGTGCGAAATAGTTTCCAAATTTTGCTTGCCAGTCTGGCTAGCAGGTTATTATTATATCCAGGTAATTAGTGCTTGCTCAAGGCGC